ATACTTTGTTGCTCACATTATACAGCCTCAGCAAAGCATGAAAAAGGAATAACTGGCCTCACATTCTAGCGGGCTAGCCAATAACAAAGGGACAGGGGCTTTTTAATGTCTTTCTCTCCCCCCACCCCTCCCCTCCGTTCATCATAATGCAACAGAAGCAAAGCAATCAATGGGGAATGAAAAATGTAACTGTTTGTGGATGGTACAGCACAACTGTTAACTCGCTCCCTCAAAATAGTTCAATAAAAGCAAACCGTATCGAAAACATCGCTGGGTTCATACATGGAATTGCTCGGCGGCGTATAAACACGTAGGGAAGGAAGACAACCAGACGAGGAGCTACCATTTTGCTTCGCACTTTTTTTGGCATTTTCGATGAACTCATCCAGTGCAAGCTGCTGAGAGGAACTTGGCTTTGCGTCAACCACAACTCGTGCACCCACTTCTGCAATGAACTGAGCAATCAAGCAATACCTTGAAAAACCCGTGACAGAAACTTCTCCAATAAACCCAAAATTGCAGTGGAATTTTTAGAAGACTATAAATTAGTTCATCGAAATCCAAATGCTGAAATTTTCCGATTCTTTTACTTGTTTTTAATCGAAGCGCAAGTCCGGAGCGCAAGAGTGTCTCAATTTTCTTTCCAGCTACAGAAAACTGGAAGCCCTATGCTGCTCCGGGATGCAAACAGTTTAAATTAAGCCGATTGTAGCGTCCAGGTTTATCCTGAGTGTCAAAATGAGGAAGGTGTGTAAGATAGAAAACAGGAGAAAATGGAAAGAAGAATGAATGAGGTAAGACGTTTCGGTCCACTTAGTCATATACGTCTTAGCTCAACACCACGACTGGATCTTGTCAATGTGACGATCGTGGTTTTCAGAGAATCCGTCACAAAAATCCTGAAGGACCGAATTTTTACGCCCATTCCCCCTTGCATATGGTGCATCGGCATGACTTTTTACTCCTTGCGCTTCCTGTTTCATGAACTCTCTACAAGCGTACAAGCTAAACACTGATGTGTAAGATGGCATACTAGGGCCTAGTTCCAGATACCAAAGTCCTGCGAGGCAAATGCTCTCCTGCAGATAGAGACAATTGCAATCCTAATCTCCCAGGCATATCTGATCTGGGCATCCAAAAAGCTTGAATTTTTTCTGGCAACAGCAGAAAATGCTCCAGCCACTGTTTGCTTTTCGTACTTTCCATCGCCACACACAGTACTGAAACTTCG